GAGGGTTTTTGTGGTTTCAAAAGCTAGTGCCACCCCCCCCCCCCCCACTTTTGAATAAGGATGTAAAGTCTGAACCACTGCTCCAGTGCCCTGCCTGCCTGCCTGTCGCCATGCTGGAACCATGAGCACCAATAAACTCTTTCTTCTATAAGTTGCCTTGGTTATGGTGTCTCTGGCAGCAATAGAAAAGTAACTAAGACACCAAGATAATCTAGTACATTTTTTTGTAAATGAGAAAATTTGAGCCTTTGAACTTACAAGTTTTGGCCTCCATGACTAGTTAGTGAGCTCAAACATTTTCATCCTGAGGCTAGAGTTAAACATTCAGTGTGTTGAGCAGGCAGTAGAATAGCCATTCAGAATAGAACAGGTCACATATAGCAGTTTGGGCTCGGACACCTTGTGTTATCTCTGAACATCAATTGAGATGGGCAGAATTGACAAAAATGAACAATCAGGAAAGCCATTGCTTTTCAAGTGAGCTCGAGTAACTCTTCCTAAACCACCAAAAGCTTCTAAGGGTTCTTTGTACCATAGGGACCCTGGTCAGCACATGGATTCAGTGATGCACTAGCAGGTCAGTGAGATCCAGTTGCACTGGAAGTAAACAAGGCCCTTCTTAGCTGATGTATCCTTACAGCCCCTTTCCACTTCCACTCTTCAGGTCAGGGAACCAGTGTCATGGTATTTTACCTTTGTCCATCTGTCTGGGTGATTGACCATCAATGAAATGTGTCTGATGGTTTGGAATTTGGTGTGGGTTTTTAACACACCACACATACCACCATTGCCACAAATCCAGCTCTTTAAGAACAGGAACAACAGTTGGTCATGATAGGGCATGCTGTGATCCCAGCACTTGGGGGGCTGCTGAAGGAGAAGGACCCTGAGTTTGAGGCAACCTGGGCTACATAACAACGCCTTGTTTCAAAGCAGGCAAGCAGGCAGACAGGCCAGTCGGCAAATAAACAGTACAACAGGGATCCTAGGAAGGTTGGAAGTAGGAAAAATGGCACATGTGAGTGACAATGACTTTTGGGCCCCTTCAATAGAATCTTTGTTGTCATTCTGGCTTTTTAGGTCACTTTCAGTTTTGATACCTAGAAAGTAAAATTTCCTGTGATCTTTGCTGGCTCTATTTTCTTGAATGTCTCATTGTTGAGTCTCAAGCTAGTTTTTAGGTTGGTTACTGCAAGACTAGCTTGAAGTTCTTTTCTTGAAGAACCAGTAACTAAGATGTTAATCTACTGCAGCAAGACTGGGTATCCAAGGAGAGGAGTAATAACAGTGAGAGACAAGTAAGAAGCAGTTGTCATAGGCCAGGAGATGTAGAGGTGTGTCTGCCATTTAACTGTTTTTTGCTGTTTGTTTCACCAGAGGCCAGGAGGACCCAGCAATGTCCTGAGGGATGCATGCCTGGTGGCTAATATTTTGGACCCCAGAATCAAACAGGAAATCATCAAAAAGTTTATTAAACAGCATCTATCAGAGTATCTAGTACTTTTTCAAGAAAACCAAGATGTAAGTATTGGCCAGATGAAACAATTTAATTTTATTGAAAAAGAAACTGTTGCCAAGTTCCTGACCTAAACTTCATTAGTACAATGAACTATTTGATAGTGTTGTACACTCAACCACAGATCCCCAGGTTGACTTTACAGGTTAGTGGCTCTTCACCATTTTGAGTCACTGATCATTTGGAGAAATTAATGAAAGAATGCACTTGTGCATAACACTTTACATACAGTTTTAGGATATACGCAGATGCCTGCTGCCCAACCATGGACCCTAGGTGGAGAACTAAATTTAGTTCAAGTAAATAACATGGTGTAGAGTCTTTTTAGTGGGAGAAACATGGAGGTTGGCTGTCTTTTCTTCTTGGGTCCTAGCTTTTGCTTATTACTACTTCTGAGCACTGAGTGTTTCTGTTCCTCGTTTGTGAGGTTGCCTGGCTGGACAAAATTGACAGACGTTATGCCTGGGTGAAGCGCCAGCTTGTGGACTATGAGGAGAAGTATGGTCGGATGTTTCCACGGGAGTGGTACATGACGGAGAGGATCTCAGTAGAATTCTGCCACGTGACGAGGTAAATTCTAGGCCTGACTTACAGTTCCATGTGACCTGCAAATCTGGCAATATTTCCATCTCTACAAATGATTGGAGCCACCCTCATACCAACTAACTACAGCCTCATCCTCTCTTCCCTTCCCTGTTGTCTGGCCCTTGCCTCAAACATCACATAGCTTCCCTGCCCTCCCTTATCAGTTTGGGGCTCACCAGCCAGATTTTCCCAGAGTGATTTGTCATGTCCGTATTTCCCCTGAATCTGGATCATGTATCTCGATACATAGTGTGTCCATCCATTACCTTTTGGCTTCTGATTTGATGGACTGTTAGCTCTAAAATGTTAGGGGTAGTCTCTCTTTTAAGGGCATGGCAGACACTGAGGAAAGAATTTGTTAAATATATTTTCCTAATATAGTGTTTCTATTCTGTGATTTCTTATATTGGCATTTGAGCATCCTAGGCATTTTAAATACATTCATCCTCTCTGATGTATTTGTTGGTATAGCCCAGGCTACAAAGTTCCTTATTGAAGAATTACACCCCAGCAAGGTTAACTCAGATACATCCAGGACAGATAAAGCCAGAGTCAAACTTTTTTATTATTTATTTGTAACTATACCAAACAGTGTGGTAGATGGTTTTTATTGCTACATGTTCCATTCTAACAGCACATAATTTATATTTGACTTTAAGTTAATACAGGAGAGGAAGGACCTGCATCTAAACATGACTCAGCCACCTTTGTGTCATTTATGCTAGTTCTATCTGTCTCTGTCCTTTCCCTCTCCCCACCCCATACTGAGGCTGAACCTAGAGCTTTGTGAATACTAGGCAAGTGCTCTACTATTTTGCTGAACCCCATCCCAAATATTCCGTAAAAATTGATAGAAAGTACCTTCAAACTGTATGTTTAAAATATACTGTGGGACAAAATATTTTTATGTGGTATTGATATTATTTTTTTTAAAATGGACATTTAATGTTTAGATCAGTTTTAAGTTCACACTATAATTAGGTGGTCATTTCAGAGATTTCCCATGAAACCCTGTTGTTGCATATACACAGCCACCTTATTACCAACACCCCTGTCCCTGCCCCCACACATACTGGTATGATGTTGTCATTGAACCTACCTTAGCATTTTCACCAGACTACATGGTTTACATTAGGGTTCACTTTTGGTGGTATACCTTCAGAATGGCTGTTTTTAAGACACACATGTGCTGTCATAGATTATATAGATATAGATACAGATATAGATATAGATATATAGATATATATCAGAGATACAGTATTGTTTAAAAGATTATTAACTTTTATGTATATGGGTGTTTTGTCTGTGCCCCACATGTATGCCTGGTACCCACAGAGAGCAAAAGAAAGCATAGGATCCCCTGGTACTGGAATTGTTGGTGGTTGTGAGCCAACATGCAGGTGCTGGGAATGGAACCTGTATCCTCTAGAAGAACAGCAAGTGCTCTTAACTGCTGAGCCATCTCTCCAGTCTCTAGATACTGTATTTAATAAATAGGCAAGTATTGATTCATGGCTAGTTGTGGTTGTCAGCTTCTAAATCTTGTTGGCAAAGAGTGAATGTCTTGAGAAATTGCCCCTAATTTCTTTCAGCTTCAGTTCAGCACGCTTGACTGGCAGGCCTGTGCCAAAGAAGTGTGTGCTAGACTGGGAGTCTACTAAAGATAGCACATGTCTGTGAGCATCACTGCCCGCTTTTGTCCCAGCTAGGCTAGTGCTGCTGCTAAGTGTCGCTGTGGGGATTTGGGTGGATACCCTACAGACACATCATTCTCAAACACACTCAGAGGCCTTGGCTCTGTCATTTGTGCAGGAAGATGATGACAGCTTAGTGTCTGCTAAGAACTCACCTGTCACTGTTCCAGATAACCTATATTCTGCAACAGAACACCCAGGTGAGGTACACATAGGTTCCACAGGAAGCACACAAGCATATAGTGTCATCTTTTACTGGGCCTCTGATGGGCATTCTGAGGCCTTGATCTGGATGAGAAGATGTGGTATTGAGCTCTCTGGAAGATGAAGAGCTTTGTAATTCAGTAACTCATGACTTGATGGAATTATATGTGGTATATAAGTATATAGGAGATAATAAGGTCCAGAATGAGCTTCACCTTGTGTTGTTAACAGGTGACTGAAAATGTGAAGCTACAGGCCAGGTATTGGTGCCCACCTTTAATCCCAGCATTTGGGAGGCTGAGGCAGGCGGATCACTGGGTTTGAGGCCCTGGGCTACATACCAAGTTCCAGGCCAGCCGAGGCTAATGAGTGAGACCCTGTCTTAGAACAGACAAACACATAGAGATGTTAATATGGTAATAACCACACTGTCAGATTAGCATTGTAATGCTTGATGTGTTTTTACTGGGGGATGGCTTCATCAAAAATTCTTATTTATAGTGTGTATAGTCTCCCCATATATGTGGATTCACTCTTCATGGATGATTCTAGAAAGAAACAACTCGTGAGTTTGAAAGTAGCTTTTATTGCAATATATTGTTCTGATTATTGTTTTATCATAAGTTACTCTTATTGTGCCTAATTTATAAATTAAACCTCTCCATTGATACATGTGTGGAGAAAGCGTAGCATGTGTAGGGCTGTGTACTACCTAGGTTTCAAGCATCTGAAGAATGTTCTTAGAATGTGTCCCTGCTGGGAAGAAGAATATTATATTTCTGTTCTCCAGGCTTTAGATTGCATTGGCAGTAGACCTCAGAGTTTGAAATGATCCCATACATTTTTTCCTGAATAAAAGCTATTTCCTCTCACACACACACACACACACACACACACACACACACACACACACACACACACACACACACACACATTTTTATTTCTCAAGACAGGGTTTCTCTGTGTAGCCCTGGCTGTCCTGGAGCTTGCTCTGTATACCAGGCTAGCCTCAAACTCACAGAGATCTGCCTGACTCTGCCTCCTGAGTGCTGGGAACATATATTTTTTAAAATATATATTTATTTCTTATTTATGTATATCCTGTATGTATTATATGCCCCATGTGCATGCCTGGTGCCCACGGAGGCCAGAAGAGATTAACTCTTCTGGAACTGGAGTTACAGATGGTTGTGAGCTACGATGTAGGTGCTGGCAACTGAACCAGGTCTTCTGCAAGAGCAGCAAGTATTCTTAGCTGAGGAACCATCTCTCCAGCCCCCTTTGTCATATCTTGAATGAAAGATGTTTAACTGCAGTCTTCTTTCTTTACTTTGAAGGACAGAACTTTCCAAAATCATGCGAGCCAGAGCTAAGGAAATTGAAGTGAAATTGCTTCTTTTTGCGATTCAGAGAACAACTAACTTTGAGGGGTTTCTTGCAAAACGATTCTCTGGTTGTACCCTGACAGACGGAACCCTGGTAAGACCTTCCTGAGGGAATTGGATCTGGGTACCAGGGGCTGGGGTGGCCAGGCTTCATTCACTGTTTCTCTGTAAAGTGTGAATGTCATCTTGTCCTTTGGCTCCTAGTCTGTAGTTATTCTTTCCTCTCAGCCCCAGAGGAGCTAGGGCCACAGGCACATGCCACTGTGTCCTGTTTAAGTTTTTTTTTTTTTTTTTTTTTTTTTTTTTTTTTTTTTTTGTGTGTGTGTGTGTGTGTGTGTGTTTAATTCCTGCCTTATGTTCCACAGTGAGCTATGTGCATATACCTGCAGTCAGTTTGATTCATCCCTGCAGAAGGTCCCTACTACACTCATTTACTTCCAGAAGTCATAGAGATAATAGTAAAGACATAGAATTGAGCTACTATTCTTCCATAGAGCTACTCTGATGGAAGAATAAAGATGGAGTCAGGCCTGGAGCACCACTCACCTGTTCATCCCTACCCCTGCAATGTTCTCTAGCTACCAGCTTTCCAGTCCTAAGGTCCTGGCACTTTGGTAGTATCCTCTCTTTGCTTCCATAAGACTTACCTCAGCGAAGGAAGCTGGTCCCTCAGTACTGGGCTAAAGAGAGGAGGTACCGTAAGGGAGTACAGCAAAACCCCTGAAGAGGACCACTCCATGTGTAGAAAAAAATTGTTATGGGAAGACAAACTGCAGCTGTTTCATGAGAGTAGAGAGTAGCGGCCCTGCTGGGAGAGCAAGTGGGCTTTATATAGGGTTCCTGAAGGCTTAAGGCAGACCCCACCCTCTCAGGAGATTTTTCTTTCCTGTTTTAGGTAGAACAGGGTCCCTGGTCCAAGCCTACCAGGAGGGGTCTGTGCCTGTTGCAGTCAGGCAAGCTTAGGGGCAGCAGATGTCCTCTTGCCCGTGGAGGATGGCTATTGCAGTTTTCTGATGAACACGGTCCCTGAGTCACAGGGTTTCTGAGAAATGCTGGGGGTTAAGTTTCTGTTTCCTCATGGCCATCCACCTGGCTAAGCTCAGGTAGCCATTGTAGGCTATTGGCAACTATATGGTGATATTAAAATGATGACAGTCCTGTTTTAAGGCAGTATCTCAAGCCTCTGCCTTCGTAGACTCACTCACAATCGTATTAAAAGACAACTGGAATCACAAAGTACAATCTCCATACTTAACAGAAGATCTGTAAAAGCTGGGTGTGGTGGCACAGATCTGTAATCCTGCTTGGGAGGTGGAGGCTCGAGGATCAGAGGTTCAAGGTCATTCTCGGCTACAAATTAAGTTTGAGGCCATCATGGGCTACATGGGCTCTGACTGAAAAACAAAAACAAAAACAAAAACAAAAAAAAACAAGGAAAGAACAACACAAAAACTTCACAATAAATAAGTAAATAAAATTTACAGTCTTCTGCATATTAACTCTTTCAAAATTGATTATATTTTAGTAATAGAGGAAAAATAGGTTACAAATGGATGAAAGTATCTTTGTATTAGTTACTTTTCTATTTCTGTGATAAAACACCATAACTTTTAGAAGGAAGGGTTATTTGGGCCTATGAAAGAGATAAAGAGTCCATTATCATACTAACAGGAAACATGGCAGCATGAAAGCACGGCTGTAGGCAGAAGTTTCCTGTCCCTCCCGCCAGGTCCCAAATAACCACTCAGAGCCTTATATTAATTGTAAATGCTCAGCCAATAGCTCAGGCTTACTACTAACTAGCTCTTACATTTTAAGTTAACCCATTTTCCTTTTTTACCCTCTGCTATATGGCGGTACCTTTATTAGCATGGCATGTTCATCTCCTGCTCCCTCTGCATCTGCTGGTGACTCCTCTGACTCTGCCCTTCCTCATCCCATCATTCTCATTCTTTCCTGCCTAATTGTATCCTATCTAGCTATTGGCTAGTTAGCTTATTTATTAAACCAATTACAGTGACATATATTCACACAGTGTAAAGAATATTCCACAGCACATGGCAGCTAGAATAGTAGCAAACAGTTCACATCTTGAAGCAGAAGCAGAAGCAGAAGCAGAGAGCAAACTGGGAATGGCCCATGGCTTTTGAAACTTCAAGGCCTGCTCCCTGAGACACACTTCCTCCAGCAAGTCCATACCCCTAAAACCTACTTAAACAGTACCACCAACCAGGGAACAAGTACTCAAATGCCTGAGATTATAGGGAACATCTCATTCAAATCACCATAGTCCTTAAAGAAAATACAAGCCAGAAAAGAGACTAGCAGAAAAGCCACTGAAAGAAGTGTGTGACTGGGGCTAGGGCTGTAGCTAGGTGATAGAGTGCTTACCTTGCACGCACAAGGCCCTAGTTTCAATCCTCAGTACTGTCGAAAACAAAAATAAACAAACAAAACAAGGAAATATGTGTCCCTGCTGAGAAGATCTCATGGTTTCTGGCTAGCCAAGCTGGGTAAAGCACAGGGTCTCCTCTGTGGGCCAGAAATCCAACTACATGAACAAGACACAGATTTTCGAATGTCGTTCAGCCAAATGCCTGTATTGAGCCAATCCCCACCCCCGTCAGCATGACCCCACTCCTGGTGATTTCTGTTACTGTTAGATCACTCTTGGATCACAGAACACATGACCCTGCTGTAGCTGTGACCAGGGAATCCTGCAAACCTGGGTCTATCCAGGTCACCAATCCAAGAAATCCCAGGGTCAGCAGTGCTAGGATGGGGGCTTGGAGAAAGACAGGACAGGAAAAGGCAGTGTGGAGTGGACATAGCCAAAGTATATGTGGATACTTGAACAAGAAATGTCATTCTGAAACCGTCGTCACTAAGGAGTATGCTGTAACTAGACAGGTTGAGGCTGCTGAGCCGGGCAACTAAGCAGAGACCATGGAAGCTGGCCTGAGCTCTGTTCCTGCTTGTGAAGATGGTACCGTTTTTTGTTTGGTTTTGTCGTAGAGAACAGGTGTAGCACTATCAAAGTGGCACTTGGCTGATTGCCAGCCACCTCTGTCTGGAGGGCTAGGGTTGGTATGCTTGTTTCTCAGGGTCTTACTGCACTTCTTCACCTTGATACCTTTAGCTGGGGCTGGCTCTTGGCCTGGAGCCTTGTCAGCTGGTAGCTGCTGTGCTCCTCAGATAGGAACCTTCTCCCAGGCCTTTCCAGTTGCGTGACTTCTCAATTTTTCTGGCAAAATTGGTTTGTCAGTCTTCTTTCTAATCATTCAGACCTTGCTTCTCTTCTGTTAGGCTCCTAAGGGAGTTTCAGATCCTAAATCCTTGACCAGGAAGATCTCACACATACACACACACACACACACACACACACACACACACACACACACACACACACGGACACGGACACGGACACACGGACACGGACACGGACACACGGACACGGACACCGACACATGGACACGGATATGGACACACATGGACATGATCCTGTAGAACACCACAAGCTCTTTGTTCACTCTTCTCCATGGTCAGCTGCCTCTACACACTTCTCCAATCACTCAACTTCTAACACAGTTCAGCCTCTTCCTCTGGAACATTGTCTGTGGCAATTACCAAGCCTCAACAGCCAATCTGCACTTAAGTCCTGACAACGGAGGTCCTGCAGATGGCAAGGATTTTCTTTTCAACATGAGTTTTAGAATGCCAACAAACTGTCATGGCCTCTTTAGTTCAGTAGGTCAGATTTTCAGACTCCTAGCTTTAGGGAGCTGGGAAGGTCCTTACTTTGGTGATGTTCACACTAGACCTGATGCCTGCCATCTCCTCACTCTGGGCCAACAGGGGCCATCCATTTGTTTGTGTTCTGCCATCCTTGATAGGAGGGATTCTGGTGAATCGGGTGAACCACTCATGGCTCCTGACAATACTTGCAACAAATGGCAGTAGAAGAGGCCCCAGCTCCCAGGCTGTCAGTAACCTGACCACCTGTCCCCTGGTCCTGTCTGTCCCTCTTCCTTTGCTGCTTGCCTCCAGGGAAGACTTTTTGAAAAATCTTTTTTTGAATACCATTTTGTTTTAGGATCTCAGAATAAACTACAGAATGGATCCAGGTGTATCTTGACACTATATAATACACATCACATTTTATAGAAAGCTAGCAGACTCCTTGGAAAACAAATCAGGGAAACCCTGCCTGCTGTTTGTTTCTTATGCCACCTCCAACACACACATTCTCTCTCTCTCTCTCTCTCTCTCTCTCTCTCTCTCTCTCTCTCTCTCTCACACACACACACACACACACACACACACACACACTCACACACACCACATCCTTGGCCTCCCTATATCACTTTAAGCCCTTGGTGACTTTGCTGGTAAAGGAGCATGATGCACTTTTGACTGGAAGAACCTCAAGGATAGGCCTCTTTATCTGTCTGTACTAGTGCTCTCAAGTTCTATCCCCATCCTTCCTTTAGCTCTTCCTGCAAGAAGTGAACAGCCAGTATGTTTGCCTCTTACCTCAACTTCTGACCCTACAGGAGGGATTTAAGAAAGTCTAAGGCTCACTTGCCTTGAAATTAAAAGCAAATGTCTGTATGTGGTTTAACTGTATCCATATGCATTTTTAGTTACTTGATGATTAGATTGAAGGTGAGCAAATTCTATCCAGCCTTCTGCTGAAAGCAGAGTAGATTGGGGTTAACTGCTTTTCTGTATTTGAGTTTTCTTTTTCTTTGTCTTTTTTAAAAAGAATCCTCCCTATATCCTGCTGCTAAGGTCCGTTTCCTCTTGGCTAGAGCATAGATTGCCCTGCCAAACAGAATTGTCATTTAGTTTAAGGGTCATTTTAATGTAATGTATATTTTCCCAGCTTAAAAAAATAATGTTATAAAGATAGAAAGTTGCAGAAACAATGTTCTCTTCTGTCTTGCTTTGGGTTTCGGATACAGGGTCATATAGCCCAACCAGACTTAGAACATGGGGTTCTCTTGCTTCCACCTCCTGGGGCTGGGGATATAAACATGCACTACAACACTCTGCTTGTACGCTTACACACTCTGCCTTGACGCTTACACACAA